CGAAAAGATAAATAGAAAATAATAACCGAAATGTACTAAAAAAATTATTATTATTATAAAACTATTCTATTACAAATAAAAAGATTGCAATAAATATCTGTTGTTACGAAAAACTTTAATCTATTAAATGTTCATGGATCCTTTTGAGTTTTATTATCGTAAAGCGAATAACGTTTTTCTTTGTTTTGCATTTTCGCAATTGATTGTGGGAAGCGGAAACTTCATAGAAGTTGGTCAATAATTGTTTGGGGAACATATTCTCACTAAGACATTTTTAGCAAAACTTAGCCATTCAAATAAATAAAGATGTTACCTACCTTAGGAATATGTTGATGTTAATGTATTATATACATATATAATCAGAGCGGCGGCATAAATATATATATATATATATATATATATATATATATATATATATATATATAGAGTGCTGCCCGAATACTCAATGACGGTATACGTTTGACTCCCAGGCATAGGGAGCGAATGAATTACCTTGTGGGGAATCGATAATTGTAGTATTTTATTTATTTCTTTTATTAACATTCTATTTTCCTTTCTTTCCCTTCTACCTAATACATTTCTCTTATTTCCCTCCATATTTTCCCCTCTCTCTTCCTAACATAATTCATACTTTCGGATAACTAATTATACAATAGTTTAAAAAAAAAAAAAAGGCACAAACTAAAAAACTAAATAAAATTAATACATACAAATACAGTAGACGAGTTCAATAAAAAATATTATATTACTATTATTATATAAAATATAAATATTGTTATTATAATATTTAAAAAATGTTATTTATAATAATCTTTGCTCTTTAAATTTTGATATAATATTTTATTTGAATGGATCATTGGTTTCAGCTCTCTTGTACCCAGCAATCCGATTAATATTTAATTAGTAATTATTTAATATAAAATATTTTGTTGGTGCTTCTTCCTATGCCCAACTAGTATAACTTACTAAGAATATAAGTCTTCCCTTAAGGAAATACCATACCTACAAGCCGATTAATAATAAATAGATAGTTTTTAAAAGTAAATCAGGCAGACGGAATAGGTGTAATATTAGAAATATTTTTTTATAAACCATAGCCAGATCATACTTCTGCCAGATCATAAATTAGTTTTCACCTGGCATTAGATCAAACTTTTCTTTACTGTATCGGTATTTTTTTTTTTTTTAAATCAACTTGAGTTTATAGAGTTTATCTAAATTGATTTTAAATCTTATCGCGTTCACGATAAGAGGAAGCTTGATAAGATACTTCACTTTTTAAAGCACACTGATAGTGGTATATTGCACTAGCATTTAATTGTAATTATCTTTAATGTAATGACATACAATTAAAATAACCCTCTGCATACCAAATCGTCCTATTAATTAATACTATTAACTATAAAAAAGAATATCATGATGATATTAATTAAAGATAAAACCATTAGGGCATACCTTTCAATCTACCTACGACCCAAGTGAGATTCGGTTTAATATTTCAATCACTGATCATGCAGGACATGAAACTCTTCAAAAAACAGTATCGAAGAGAATTTTTTTTTTTTTAAATTGAACTTCATAACAAATTTTGAATTTAAGTTCTCATTTTATTCTGAAAGTTCAATTATTATGGTAATTATCTATATTATAAAAAAAATATTGCATTAAATAAATTTAACTAATTTATCTAAAACGAATACCTGATTCATGCATTTCTTTTGTTTGACTAGCTAAGAATGTATTGTTTAATTATTATTTTTTCGATTAACTTTTGACGAATAAATGAAACGCTATAAAAAAAATAAAAAATAATATATGTAATTTATACCACACGATAGACGTGAAAACATCAACAAGGCGAGATTAATAATATGAAATATAAATTATAAAAAATAGGACATTATAAAGAGGATGAAATGTTGAACATTTTCCTAGCTCACAGTGTGCAGGTCCGATTTTTATTTTTTATTATTAATTTATTTTATTTTATTAATCGGTATGAAAAAACACTTCAATTAGTCGACTCTAGCCGACTTCACCCGAGCGTTAACACTTCAGGAATCTGACGGATCAATCAAATTCACTCTCCACAAAAAAGTGCAAAAATCGCCTAAAGACGGTCCTACTTCCAAAAAAAAAATTAAAAGTTTTTAAATAAAAATTTGTAAAATAACTTGTGGAAAAGTTTCATGAGTAAAGATACTGTTTGAAAAACAATCGAATATAAAAATTCAAATCATATCGGAACTGATTAAGAATAAATCTTTTCATACTAAGCGGTGCATATATGAACTTCAGTTTTTTTTTAAGACAATTTTTTCATATGTTTTAACGCCAACAGATAGAATGGAATAACATTTAGATTTTAAGATGTTTTCTTCTGAGGAGTCCATAAGATATTAACGAGTTATTAAAACTAACAATAAGATTTTTAAAAAGAAACCTACCTACGCGATAAAAAGCGAAGGTTACCTACGCATTTTATCGCAGTGCTGAAAATGGGTCAGTCGGAACTGATAGAAAATCGATTGTGTTATACTATTACAAAACCTTTTAATTTCGATGCTTATTTTGTAACAAACCATACTGAAAAACAAATAAAGATTAAAAATTGACTGTAACGCTTATCGATCTATTTCTGAGCTAATAATCATAGAAAAATATTTCATCTATTTTTAAAATCTTAACAATGACGTGCTGCCAAATCCTTCTTGTTTGATTATTTTCTGTATTATTATTTGTATTATTTCCTGTACAGATGGCCAGTTTTCTTTTTCCCGTACAAATAAATATCAGAGCCACAGTGTATCAAGCCCTCTTAACCAATTAATGTTTTTGATAATTAATTACTTATTATTGTAGTTACCAATTAAAGTTCCTTAATTATAGAAATAAAATAAAATAACATAAAATTGTAATTGATAATTACGTTGCAATAACATTTGCTCAACTAGTAGTTGTAATTGCGGATTATAACATGATTTGAAGTGAAATCTTAATTTTCAATTTTTTTTTTGATATTTTAGAACTAGAACTTATTTTCAATTATAAACAGAATAGAACAGTAATTTACTGCATCGGTATTTTATCACACTTTCATTTACAGTAATGGTATCAAGTAGTTGCAGTTACTGTAATTGTATTTATACATTTCAATTACAATTGTTGTTATGCAAAGTAATTGCTTATGTAATTTAATATCATATATTTAATTTATGAACTTGTTTAAATACTCATTTCCATTGAGTAGGTATCCTAATAATTACCTTTTTCAGTAATATATGGGAATTATATAATTGCATTTGCCAGTTAAAATACCTTAATTCTAGAATAAATAAATAACATAAAATTGCCGTTGGTGATTACGCTGCAATTACAATGACTCAATTAGTAGTTGTAATTGTGGATCTCAATTACAATTAAGGGGTTCATGAAGTAAATAAAATTGTATTTATGCAATTAAAATTTATAGTAATCGGTAAATATTATTTACCAATAAATATTAGTATTTACAAGTAAAATTATTTTTCGCCCAACACTGATATTAAATTCAACTTGAGAGCTGAGACATTGAGAGCTAAAATTTATTTATTTTTTCTGTCTCGGATATTAAGATCATTGGAAGATTACTCGCAGATAAAACTCTTAAAAATTACATAAAACTATCAATTAAACTCTTATCAATAGAAGTTATTTGGGATCTCTTAGGGTTGTTGAAAAAAATCGCTTGCAATATTGGTTGATGAGTCATCATTTTTTAATAATCTCGTTTCTGAATTATGTTCGATGAGGTTAGTGGAAAATTAATTCTTTTTACAATTTTAAGTGTTTTGAGTCATATGTTGATTTTCGAAAAATCACTATGTCGAATAGATAGATTCGATCGAAATTCTTCTTATTTCTCCTCACTATCAAACAAATCCTTATTCTAAAATCTTGACAAGTTGATGTGACCTTTAATAATGATTACATTAATGATAAATTGTATTTATTATCTTGAGTACATTCCTCATATATCATCCGATACGTTTTTTATGTTAGTAAGATCTGTTGCGTATTAAAGTGTTTATATTGCTTAGATGTAAACACATTATTACCTTCAATATTTGTAAAAAAATAGCTTTACGTTTAGTAAGGATATCATTATAGGTTAAGTTAAAATATAATAAAAAGCAAATGATCTAAAGGACTTGGTATACTGGCTATGGATATGTATATATATATATATATATATATATATATATATATATATATATATATATATATATATATATATATATATATATAAACTAGAACCAGGAATATAACATGAGATTTGTTTAGGAATAAAATATTAACCAATTCTAGATAAAAACTTTAAGCAGCAGTTGGATATAAATGAAATCAAATTTACAATGTAAAACTGATTTGTTTTTGTTTTTCACTATTAATTTCAATCATTGCTCATTTTTACTTCTGAAATATAATTTGTAAGAAATGTTTTTGCCATCATAGATTTTACATATTCATACCAAAAAAAAACAACACAATAAATCGAGATGCATAATAGAAAAACAAAAAGTGATAATAAAAATTAAATAATAGTAAGTCCTTATATTTAATAATTACACGTCCGGATTAAGGATTCCCAAACCTCCTTAATCAATATGGGATGGGAGAGGGTAAATGAATGCTCTTGGGATCCCAGTGCATCTCTCACCCTACATATCTGGTAAATGAGCAAGTGGAGGCAGAGGAAGGGAGACAAACATTGAACATGAGTGGAGGATTTCTGTTGTACTTCTAGAATTCCAATACCATAATTTATTTTATAATAAAATTCGTGGCCATTTTGAACCAGAAGTGTGGATGATAGGAGGGATTTAGTTATACTAGGAGCTTTTACTTATTACTAATTAGATTTACATACTAATTACTAATTGGAAATTAAGTTTATGTAAACTCATTTCTTTTTTTTTAAGTGAAACAGATTGTATCGTGGGGTTAAATAAAAAAAAACATTGTGTAATTATTTATCGTTATTTATTTATTGTTTAAAATCTATCAACATTTGTTTGATAATGCTACTTTGACTTTCTAAATGAAATCTTGTTAGACAGTTGTTGAGAAAAGACCGATGGAAGATCTTGGATAAAGTTTAACTTTGCTACCCTTCCTTAGTATGTTACTGAAAAAAAAAATGTAAATATAAATATATATATTTTTTAAAAATAAGTATAAATTAATTACGAACTATGCAAAAAGAATTCACTTACTTGATTTTGTAATGGGAATTAATAGAAGTAGTGTGAACATGTAAGATATCTGGAACGTTCTTAAACAGTTTAGAGAGTGGTACGCTTTGCTCATAATTGTCCAGATTTATAACAACGTAGTATACCTTGTTCTTGTTTGTCCTGTAAATTCATGTTAATTGGTTTTAGATGATGCGGCTAGGAAATAAATGTCTATCAACTAGTAAACAATTACAAAAATAGTACAATATATTGTATGGTAATGTACGTTTACCTTTTGAAAGCGAATACCCAATCTCCGTAAGTAGCGGTCTCGAGTTCAATCGAATCAGAAAATTCCTTCTTTACTTTTGCCAGTCTCTTGTACAGTCTCAGATGACTTGAAGGATCCACTTGTTGATTTTGGACATTCAGTTGGTAATAATTAGGATTTACTGGTAGCCAAGTCTTTCGTGCTCTTGAAAACCCTGCAAGAATTGATACTATTACAAACAGCAGAGGACAACAATGTTATGATTGCCATTAGAATGATTGGATCTACCAGAGGATTTCGAGCTGAAGCTCCTCTCCTTCCCACCCCATAACGAAAATGGAAAAATATAACCATTTCATATGAAAAAATTATCACTAATAGTATAATTGTTCGTTCAATTCTTTTAAGAATCACTTAAATAGCATTTCATATAGGTTGTTAGTTTATTTCTTTTCCTTCCAAATTGATTTCCATTATATATAAAATCTTTCTGGGTAAAGCCCCCTGAAAATTAAATCCTGGATCCACTACTGATTAGAATTTCACGTCCTCATAAATTTATAAATATATTATACTTGGAATTCATAGTAATCAGCATTCTTTTGTATTAGAGTTCTCCACTATTAAAATGAAACAATTGCGATTAAAAATATTTTTCCTCAAAAATACGAATCATTAAAGTAATTAATATATATTGCATTTATCAGTAATTTTCAAAATGTTAATAATATAGGGGAACTGACAATTTATATAAATATATATACATAGAGGAAGAGAGAGAAAGGACCTATATTTAATATAGATCTATACTTATTCCTAGTTCAATCGTCTTTAAATAATACGGTATCAGTGTATTTATATTTAACAATGTAAGTATAATTATATATTAAATTACCAGCATTCCTTCGCTTATTCCATTGCATAGGGGATCTTTCAGCATCTCTGTCATCGCCTGTAACATCTACCTTGAGGTCGTCCCTCAAGAAGGTGTCCTTCATACCTATCTCTTCCCCTTGATAGGTGACGGAGACTCCAGGAAGCATCAGCTGCAGCATCAACATTGGATCTACCATTTCTGGGCCGAGTTTGGTACCGACTCTCAGATTGTCATGATTTCCTGTCTGTAATCGTTTACAGTTGGATTATAGAATAGAATAGAATAGAAAATAGAACTTTATTCTGGGACTAAGATAAAATAACAAATAAATAAAATAAAATAAATAAATAAAATCCCCTTAAAATAACAAAGATGAATTAATACAAAATAAAATACAAATCTGGCCAAAAACTAAGTTATGAAAATTCTATTCTAGATTATATTTATTATTATAATATAAATTGATATGTCAGTTAATTAATGAGAGATATGAATTATAATTAGATTTCTTTTAAATAAATAAAGCCTTAGGTCTCCAAACATACAGTATACTTTACTGGTCATGCTGGAGAAATGAGGATGTAGGAGAAGACGGAGCGAAATGAGTAAGACGGGCAATGTAGAGGACATAGAGTATCTATATCTACCGGAAACTAGATCAACTTCATCAACGGATAACAGTTATTATTTAGACATCGGCCGGATTTTGTTGATTACAATTAACAAGTTAGCTACAATTTGTATACTAATATTTTATATATATGTTAGTCCTGCCAGATTACCGGATCACGGAATTCCTCATAAGTTGAGGAGGTTTTCAAGCCTAGATTTGTAGCCTTGGACCATGCATCAATCCCAAAGTGTGGGATCCCAAAGACTTCTGAGCTCATTATCATTAAGTACACCGCTTATGAGTCATCAAGGGCCAAATTGTGGAGAGAAACCGGCCACTGATCATAGTAGAAAACTAACCGAGTTTGTGTAGAGATTTTATGTTTAAATCGGTTTTATTGCAATAGTGGCATGTTATGCAATCATGCGTACCAACCCAGTACTACAGACACACCTATTACCTGAGACAGGAAAGGGTTAATACATATATCTTGAAAAATAAGGCTCTTTTAAAAGTTTAACATGTGTTGTATGCCAATAAATTTTCAAAATGTGGACTCAAACCTTCTTCAAATGATGCTTCTTATTAAAAATAATGTATGAAATGAAATGAAAATATTTTTTATTACTCTGAGATTGTTTTCTCTTTAGAATAAATTATAAGTACTGGGTAAAAGTGGTAATACCACTGTGGTAATACATAAATTAAGTATTTACACAATAATTGTTAATTAAAAATAAAAATACAGATAGAAAGAGAAAGAGAGAGAGAAAAAAAATATACATATATATAAAACAAAAATCGGAAACTAGAGTAACATAACAATGGTCTATAGGTATACTTAAAGAGTTCTCTTAGGTATACTTGTATACATGAACAGCCTGATTGGGAAAGGAGTAGGTATATACAGAGGAGAGATTTGAAAGAGGAAACTGATTTTAAGTGATTATTATCAGGAGGCATAGAATTTCAGGAGGAGACAGCTTGGATTACTAAGGATTTGTCAAACGCAGCAGTTCGGTGAGGAGGGGGATAGTGGTCAGAAGTATGAGATATAGTGGAACGGGATCAAATAGAGTATTTAAATTGTAGGCTGTGGAAATTTAATATAGCGTATATCAAATAGTAAAATATAGTGTATATTGATTAAATTTTAAACAAGACGTTTTCATCTATCCCTAACTTTAACTGAAATAGTTTGAGGCTATGAGAGAGCGAACTTTGATCCTCAGAACGTTTCTGAACAGGCTTATATGAATTATATATGTATATATAATATATGAATTTGTATGTCAGCGAAGAAGATGGCAATAATTGTTTACATTTTTCAATTTCTTCGAAAAAAAGCAAGATTAGGGTATATTGCATTTGAGTGGTAAATACAAACTTCGGGATTGAAGTGAAGATCAATTAACATTTTGTGCTATGGTATGAATAATGATGAATAAAATCTGACAAGAAAGTTATTTAATGTTATCATTAATAATTTTACTTAAAACATAATATAGTATATTTTTGTTTAAAGTGAAAATGCCTTATGTATAAGAATGATATTAGAATCATATTTAAATTAAATTTATTTTCGGATATCAAAATTGTGGTTCATTGGATAGGATAAAGCATTAACCAAAATCTAGCATATCTACGAAATAATTAACTGTGAAAAATAAAATATAAACTTAATAAATGTAACGAATATTCAAGTCCCTATGCATGTTATTGTAGTTTAATAGTTCAACAAAATTTAATCACAAATGTTTGGAATTTTTTTCGGCTGGGAGGAGATGTTCATTTTAGTAATTGGTTAAAGTTAGGTTACCCCTACATCAGGTGATTTTGTTGTTTTTAGTTGTGGATACCTGAATTAATAAAACTTAGATTGGTTAGACTACTTACTATTTTATAAATTCAAGGCTATTCAACAGGATAATATTATTAGGGAATGAGTTATCGGGTTCTACTTACCACCCAGTTCGGCCAGCCACCATTAGGAAGGTTATTCATGTACCCATCAACTATTCTCCTTAACGTTGTCGCGTTAGTGTCTTGTTTCATGGCCGTGACTAAATCGAAATTAAAGGGTGTAGAATGCTCTTGATAATAAGCCATAACCTGGCTGGCGTTAGCGTACGCTTCAAGGAAGAGATGTCTGAAAATTTTGTAAAAATAAATACATTTAAAAGAGGTAATTACTCAGAAGTTTCTATTTACAGACTTTTTTTTGTCATGCCTTTCTCATAATATCATACAAGGAAATCGATTCTCGACATAACTGTAAGTAAATTATTTCGCATATATAATGTTTTTGAAACTTACTTTGGGTTAGTGTTTTCATATTCGAGAAGCAACTCATCGAATTCCTTCATTACTTCATATGTTTCCGGCTGATTTTGTGTCCATATGTGATACATACAGGTACCTGGAATCTTGCGAGTACAGTTTGGAATATAAGGTTCTTCTCGCAACTGTTTGTCTTCGACCAAGAAGGGAACTGCGTCCATTCGCCATCCATCCAATCCTTTATCCAACCAATACCTCATTATATCCTGTAGAAAATTATATAAAATTAACATTATTTAAAAAAAAATTAAATCTTCACTCAATTAAATAAATCGATTTTTAAAAAAAGCTATTTTGAAATAAATAAAGTAACTCTTTAGTTCCGGTTTTTTATTTTACTTTTTTTCTAATATCTAAGGTAATGCATCCTTCCACATTTGGGGACAAAGCATGACTCAAATCCCCTGCACAAATATTGTATATAGGTGTGAATGTGTCTTATCTATTTTAATTTCATATAGTTTCTATCTATTCATTTTTTTCTTTTTTTTTTTGTTCATTTGTATATTAATTTTCTTATTTTAATATCTATATTTCTTTTTCTTTATTATCTCTATTTTAGTTATGATTTGTATGTACATATTGTGAATGATTAATGTAGCCTTAATATTAATGCCCTCCAATGTTACAGAATGTACTAATTTTCAATTAATAAAACAAAACAAACTAGCAAATGTAATGTATAATAGAACAAGTTGATATATTCACACACACACACACACACACACACACATCTGTGTTTGTATATATATATATATATATATATATATATATATATATATATATATATATATATATATATATTATTTTTTTAATTTGAATATTAAAAAAAATTCTTTTACGAAATTTGTTTGGGTTTGTTCTAATATTCATGAGACATTCCTATATTAGTTGCAAGATTAGTGTTTAAAAAAAATTATGGTGACATATTTTCATCACTTAATCAGAAATGTCTACTCTATAATATTATTTGAAGTAATGTAAGTAAAATCGGGAAGTTTTGTACTTTTTAATGATCCAAGTACAAATTATATTTATAATATTTCAGATTATTATAGATCACCTTCATGTCATCGATGACTTTCTGATTTGTGAAGTTTAACTCTGGCTGGAACGGTCCAAATTGGTGGAGATAAAATTGCTTTCTCGTCTCATCGTAGGTCCAGGAATCACCTCCAAAGATACTTTTCTGAAAAGAAATTTTTAAAATAATTAAAACAAACATAGATTAAGATATATTATAAAGAAATCTCGTTATTCGGAACATATAGGTAAATTAAATACAGATAAATATAAATATAATAATTTTTTTCGAGTAAATTTATATGTTTTATTTTAATTGATGCCTCCTTTTAATTTTATTTAGTTCTTCGGTAGGTTAAATCACAAGGAAGGCAAAATATCAAAATAATCGTTAAATTTAAATTGTATATCTTTATGTTACTAAGTAAAGCGTAGCCATCTGGTCCTCTTATTTTTTACCTTTTTTATTTTATATTTTTTTATTTATACTATGGGGTCTCTCCTGTCGGCCTAACAGCTCACCAACCCCCATTTTACAAATTATGAAACTGTTTGTTTAATTGTACTACTAGTTTAACAAATTATATAACTGTATTTACATGTATTCTGTAATTCAGATTGTATTATTTTATATCATCATAAAATAAAGGAACGACAGTTCGGAATTTTTTTTAAATTTATTTAAAAATCTATATTATAGGCCTTGCGCCTTATTGCCAATTTATATTATTATTTTATTGTAATCATTCTTATTGCCAATTTTTAATCATAATAAGGGAGAAATAATTCTGGGAATAAGAAGTGTAGTGTATTAGTTACGGTCCGTCCTGTTGGTGCCTTCGTCACGGCCCGCTTTGTATATGTAAAATAAAATATGACAGTCACTAAAAACTTTTATATATAAAAGAGAGAAAATATTTTCTAATTTTTTTAGATACATCAGATAACACCAAATATTTGTCTTGATTATATGTTTATTTACTTTTTGGCATTTAAACCAAATTTTATCATTTTATTCAGTTTAGCTCGTACTCGACCGAAAAATTGTCAGAAGTTCACGTGTTTTTTATTCAATGGTCATTTCAAATAGATTTTTTTAAAATGTATACTTCCTCTAGACTCAAGTTACTATGTTTTTCTTTTACCTTAAACGAATTTTTCATATCATACCGACTAGCGTTATTTAAATCATTCAATGAACTCTTAAAGAATTTTGCTAATTTTGGAAGAATCTTTTTATAGTATATTTACTATGGGCCTTAAGGCCTTTTCAGAAGAAGATTTCAATTCTTAAAATTTTACGAATTCATATACTCTTTGATAAATCAGAGTATAGTTTTGTTCAGAATCATAAATTTAGTTATTTTTATGGCCTGATATTATTATAACTTTATCCATGAATTTATTATAGTTTTTGGTTTTTTAAGTGTTTTTTTATAATCTAATTATAGTTTATAATCTAAATATAAACGATATTGTCAAAAGTATAGAATTTTTTTACTCGCATGTTACGACATTTGTAAGATGAAGTCACAAAATATAATATATCTGAGATTTCTTCAAGAAGAGAGCTTTCATTACCCATCCATTAGGAGGTTGTGGTACACCATCCTTGTACCCCGAAGGGTCGTACCACACGTAATAATCGTCTTTTCCGTCTTGACGGTTCCTGGAAGCGTTGAACCAAGCATGTTCTTCGCTGGTGTGATTCGGAACAAAATCCAGGAAAATCTTCATTCCTGTAAAATTTCGTTACGATGATGAATAAAAGTTTGATAAAAATATTGATATTTAATGCATTGTACAATTTATTATCTTACCGTAATCGTGAACCACCTTTATGAGTTCCTCTAAATCTTGATTGGTTCCGAAGAGAGGTTGTACCTTTAGGAAATCATCTATATCGTAACCCATGTCCTTCCAAGGCGAAGAGAATACCGGTGAAAGCCAGATGATTCCAACTCCTATATCTTTAAGATAGGGGACCTTGCCAATGACTCCTGAAGAATTTAAAAAAAAAAAGAAAACAATGAACAACAAACATTTGAAATTACAACTGAAAATAGTTTTATAGATATTTCGTAAAATATATAAAAAGCTTCATGCAGAACAACGTTCGAAATTAGATGTTGAATAATTTTTGTCTCAAAAATATTAAAAGTATAAAAAATTTATAAATTTTATACTATTATAATTAATGCATAATATAGACTTGTGGGCACTCTTTACATTTAATGGATTCCTCATGTATTATACTAACTTGCCAGTGTTCAAGAATTTTTTCTTTCTTTCACAATTACCTTTTTTAATTCTTCTATGTTCCTTAACCGTAGTTTTATTGTTATGAAAATAATGGAATGTAATATTTGTGGGATCCACGAAAACCCGTTGGTTTGTTGTCAACCAACGTGTTCTCAGACTTTTTTTATCAAATTATTTTGTTACAAAGTTAACAAAATAATTTTATAAACAAGTCATTCCCCTAAAAATATCGAAGTATTCTATACAACTTGACAAATGAATGTTAAAGAATAAAGATCCTGCAATGACGATAAAATTAATGTAACACTATCTACTGATTGAAATCGAGGTATTGATGAATTGAGAGTTATTTAGCATTTTAAGTAATATTAGCCTTGTTTGTCATTTCCAAGCCGGTACTTTCGAAAATGGCCATGCAAAGACTTCCGAATTTTTTAAAATTGAGTCTCATCGTAGGATAGATAAATGTTTAATATTTGAATCTTTTTACAAATGATGTCGTTTATGAGCAATCAGTCGTTTCTGTGCCGTCAGACTATATTTAAAAAATTACTCCTGATCTTTTAAGATAATAAATAACAACCTTAGAAGCCTTAATATTTTAAGTACAATGAACGAGTGTTAATTAGCGAACAAATAACGTTGTAAACAACTTTTCTAGTCCACGGCAATCTAATAGCAGAATCGAATCTAACATGTGAAATTTTACTGCATGAAATTATTTGAGATAGAAATAAAGTTTTCTATATATTTTTTGTCGCGGAAATCCATTGGAACAGTCTACAACGAGGAATGTTATAAGAGGATTAATTATAAAAGTTTTAAGAGGATTAAATGACTTTGTCAGCTATTTTTTGAACTTAGCCATCTACTGAAGATATAAATTTAAATACTGCAATTTTACATGCCGTCGATAAACCGTTGCTTTGTATTGACATGATACAAACGTAAGATAACAAAAGAGAACGAACGTGGTAGAAGACGGAATTCTGATCACAAAGGCGAAATCCAATACTTTAACATTAATTGTGGTTCGAGATCGTTATATTTAGTTTGAACTGCGAGTACTTATATTAATATTATATATTTACAAATCAGCATCAGATAGAAATTAAAAAGAAAATCGAAGAGATAAAAAACTTCGAAACGAACTGCTGTTCACTCCCACTAAGTTTAATAGTTTGGTTTTATTTATTTTATTAATAAATAAATAAAACTGGCATTTGCTATATATTGTAGTGTCACGAATATGTTAGGTAATGTTGGATCTTAATATTACTTGGCCATCAGGACTTAGCTCTGCCTTAAATAGGAATCTTTTGTAACGACTTATGTGGTAAGAAACTTTTATTTTTTTTTTTATTAAAGAAATTTGAAGAAGAAAACTGTAATTAATAATAAATATAACAAGTAAATATGAACAAGTAACATGACATGTACAACATGATGAGAAACTACCCATTGGTAGCACTCCAATTATATTTCCATATCAGAAGGTCCCGAGGCCATCTTCTTTAGAAACTTTAAAAAATAAATAAACAAAAACTTTATTAAGAAAAATAAAAACCGAATTCAAACCGGCCCACAGAAACCCATAAATCGGAAAATATTAATTTTACTTAAAACATTATGTTTAGAAATAACATGAGTTACAAGTGCAATTAAATCTGAAAGGTACAATACTTTATCATTTTTTGATATTGATGACTTCTAGGTTCTAAAACTTCTTCCATTAATTATTCCAACTGAGATAAGTGTTGACAAATAAACAATTGATTAATGGATAAATAAACTTACTAGAAAAATATTCTCTAAAAGCTTAAAATATTCAGCTGGCCTAGGGTCTTTATGATTTTAATATAATTTAATATAATTGTATTGTTTTAAACAATACCATATTAATTTTACAATGTTAATAATACAATTATTTTTCATTCATTAATTCATTAGGTCAATGTCATTTTCAATGTTTAACATGATCGATTCAGAAAATTTGCCGAATTAACTATAATATAAAAAATATAGTACATATGGCCAGCTAGAATACATCTGTTAATTTCATCCTATCCTTTAATCAATTTTTAATATATCAAGATTTATCTCACTTGGAAAAGTTTGTGTTGGGAGGAACTATGTCAACTTAGAAGTTGTGATGAGGCTTGGCTGTTCTTTTACTTAGAATAATTACTCAAAATTGGTAAAACTGCTATTTTTCTTTCTAGTGATTCTTGTGTTTAGTTATGAATTAGGTTGTTTTTTTTCTGAAGTTTTTTTTTTTTTTTTTTTTTTTTTAAACTATAGTTATTTGATTCAAAATCAACTAACACAGATATATAAAAGATAATTGTATTCTGCCGATATTGTCTGAGTTATTTTACAAAATCATTTTTTCTTACCTCTCAAATCGCCATTTCCATCACCGTCTGAGTCGGCAAAGGACCTGACGTAGACCTGGTACATGATGCTGGTCTTCCACCATGGCAGCTCTGCACTCGCCAGGTGTAACAACCCCACAAGGATCGGTAGCAACATCATCTCTAAGACTTGCCCATCTTGCAAATCGTTATCCATTTTATTAGCTAACCCCCACCCCCGTCCGTGTTTAGATTTGTTTAAACAGTTGCAAATTTCAGTTTAAATTACACATAAAATGTGTATCTTTCTAGTAATGAACTTTTGTTTTATTGAATAATGATTAGTTGAAGTTTTACAGTATACCACAGGAGGTATTAAAAGTTATACAATTAAACTGATTTAATGTGCTCCAATTCAGAGATACCACTATATGAATAAACTACTCTAAGTAAATAATAATAATGTTTGTTAATTTGAGATCACTTCAATGATCTGATCTCCTTATGTTCCTTAACTCACTTTTAACAATATTTATTGTTCGGAAAGAACTAGCTATAAAATTTTGCTTAACAATTTTCTGCTGTAGGCATGTGCCACATAGAGTTTGCTACTTCTGCTATGTTCCTAACCTGGACCACTAGCGGATCCAGGATTTAATTTTTTTTTGGGGGGAGGGCTTCAGCCCGAAAGATTTTTTTTCATATACATATAACGATAATTAATTTGAAAAAAAAAGAATGAAATTAAGTACCTATTTGAATTGGTGCTTAAGTTGTTCTTGAAGTTCTGTTAAATGTAATTAAACGAACACGAATATTTTAAGATATAGTTTTTAATATTTTTTTTTCTGTAAAACATGATTATATTTTACAATTTTGGTGGGACTTAAGCCAGAAAGCTCCCCCCCCCCCCGTAGATCCGCCTGTCACCTGGACTGATTACATCGCCTATTAGCTTGGGGTAAAATCCATTAAATACCTAAATCAGTTCAATATAAACTGGCCAAGATCCTAGTAAGAGAAAGATTTTCTTTTATTAAAAAATAAATCAATAGAAATTATTCTTCTAAAACCCATCATTAGAAGATAACCAATCCAGAGTCTAGATTATTTTCAATAAATTAGTTATTATCATCTCATATACTGTTAAACTAAATATCAGACAACATACCAATCAATAAAATTCTGAGTATCCTGAAAATACAAAAATAACTCTTACAATATAATTGCATATCATAGTAGGACAGATTTCAGTAGTGCTGGTCACGATGATAATGTTTTTTTTCATTAGGGAATTTTCAGTAGTATCAGGATGAATTTCCTCTATATTTCTCTTTTCTTTAAATAGGTGTTTATTCGGAATTTTTTACACCATCCAAAGGAGGGCGTGCCCCATGACAAAATTCGCTAGTGCTGGTCAAGATAGTAATTTTTTTTATATATTACATTAGGAAATTCGTGTATGGAGATGAATTTTCCCTTCATTTCCCTTTTCTTTAAAAAGGTCACTTTTTTCGGATTTTTTTTTTCAAGCATCCAAGGAAGGGTGCGCCCCCTGGCAGAATTCGCTAGTGCTGGTAACAAGGGCGCGCCCCCCGCGCTCTCTTGCTGGATCCGCTGGTGATGTAAGGCTGGTTTTCCTTATCCTGTTGTTTATTATTGCCTGTGATCATGTCTAATGTTATTTATTCATTTTTAATCTTTGAATGTATATCCTATAAGAGCCAATGGTTCCAAGTATATATATATTTTTTTAATCCTACTTGGGCATTTCTGAGATACCAGAAGGGAGTTGAAATAGTGAATTTTTATATTGTAAGCTGTAGATTTTCAGTTTGTACTGTTCAATTAAAACGTTTTTGGCCCGTCTTCGAACGATCCTCATTCCTCCATTCCTTATTCTAAACATACTTACCTCCAATCATATGAGCTTGATTGTCAGAATCTTCTTAGCACTACTTATTCCAGGTACGTCAATATTGTATTTTGTCAATATATCTCTTTCGCGAGGCCTTCCTCATGTCCTTATTCCTACGAGATCGGTGATGCTAAATCTGACGCTTTCCAAAGCTTGGTGCTTTTCTTTGACTCATTGATACTCCAAACGGGAGGCTAACTCCTTGCTAAGCCCTCCAGACCGTATAAGATCCCACCTACCTCAGGACAATAAGAATCATATATAATCAATAATCAATCTATTGAGTTGTTTCTAGGAAAGTAACTCGTTTGTATGTACTGTTCCTGATCTACTGTCATTACATGAGTGAAGTATGCCGTTCAGGTGAAATTGTTTATAGAACGTTCCACTCTCTAGACGAACAAACTAGCGGCGTTTTTCTTGTTATGTATTTATACCATGTTCTTATTTCACTTATAATATAATTAGTAAATAAAAAACTACAATATTTTAAGAAATTTCAATATTAAATTAAAGTTAATTTTTAAACTTTTCCTTCACAGTTTTTCTTCCATTCAAAATAAAATTATTTAGCTATATCTTGTAAGTTGGTTGTTTGTAAAGTAAAGGCGTCAAAACATGTTGGTCATCAACGGCGTTAATTAAAATTATATATTATTATATCTTTCGGTTATTAATATTAAGAATTGGATGAAATTAAAAAAATGTAAAATGCACGTTAAGGTTAAAAGTTGTTTATTGTTATTAAAGTTTAGTTATTTAAAGTTCACACGTTAGCTAAAAAAGAAAAAGAAAAAAAAAATGGTAAAAGGAAAAAAATAGGTAGGGAGTGATGCTTGAGAGGTTCAGAGATTTTTAAGATTCCTTCTTCAGAGAGAAAACATATGATTTGGCTAAGATTTTTTCATCGTTTCCCAAAGCGGCTGGTGTATTTGCTGGTATTCCTCTTTTGTTTAATTCTCTAATGTAAAAGGCACAACTCTCGAAGATATGGACCATTGTCATCTCTCTCCACACTTTCGACAAATGGGCGGGTTTTCTTTCCTAATTAAGTGAAGGTGCGTAAGCCTGGTATGAACTATTCTTAGTCGCGTATGAACAACTTCCTCTCTGGGTTTACTGCGACTGGAACTGCGCCATGGCTTCACTTCCTTTTTTATCGCCTTTAATTTATTTGGAGGGCTATTGTCCCATAATGTCTGCCAATCCTGGTGTATGGCCTCTTTCAGAGTTCGCGCCAGTTCGGACACAGCCAAGAAGGCTTTAGAACGTCCTAGAAGGGTAACAGCTTCTTTTGCTGCTCTGTCAGCTATTTCACCAGGGGACCATAAAAAATGTATAAATGTTACTTAGCTGTTTTATGACTTATGACTGTTACATGTTGTTCATGGCTTCAAGGGCACTCAGAGAATCTGACACCACAACCACATTTGCAACTGGCATGTCGTAGAGCCATCGCGATGGCATTAATCTAAGCAGGATATATGGAACAAAATGGATGTAGTTTACATTTATAGGTAGCACCAAACTATTTGTTGTATTTTAACATATTATTATATTAATTTTCGATATATAGGTAAATTAACTTCTACCTTTTTTATATTATGGTATAATAGTAGTAATAATATGCTTCATTTGTTCTCGAACAATTATCTTTATATATGGAATAATACATTATATATAAGATAATACATTATATATTACTTAAAATTAGAAGTTAACTTATATTTTTTCAATATTTCTATTTGTTGATTTTATTATTCTTGTTATAAAACTCTGAGGCTCTAAAGCCCACAATTGCATTATTCTATATTATTATTATGTATAATGTATTATTAATTATTATGTATTCATTTGTTATTTTTATTTATTTAGAAATATAATAATCTGTCACGTGGACAATAATTATAGTGAGATATGAACACATTCACACCATCTATACAGAAAACATAAAATTAACAAAAGTAAAATAATAACTAAATAATTATCAAACAACTATGTACAATAAAAAATAAAATAACCTAAAGATAAGTTAATTAAAAACATAAAAACTCATTCATACCTATATACAATATTCACAACCAGGCAGAGAACCGCAAGCCAGGCTTGTCCCTCGAACTATAGAGGGAAAAGCAGGACTCTAAGAGATCCCTGCACTACTCTCTCAACTGCATCACTGGTGCTAAATCCAGCGAAGATTGAGCAAGAGCGCAAATATATAATAATATAGAATAATACAATTCTGGGCATTAGGGCCTCAGGCTGGTTATAAAAAGAATAATAAAATAAACAAATAGAAATACTGAAAAAATATAAGTTAACTTCTAACTTTAATGAGTTAAAAAATAATTATATAAACTAATAATTTATATACATATTTACGGAGAAAGCTATTTAAATCATTCGGGAACTGGATGGATAGGAAGTAATTGAATAGGCAGGATTTAATTAAAGGTGGCTAGGGTTTTAGACTGAGGGATGTAGAAGAGAATGAAATTTCGTAGGAACGAGGATTGAATAATGTCTGATCCCTCTGAAACAGAATGCATCAAATTAGAGATAAATCGGGACACTACAATCAAGAAACGATACGTTCTTTACCTAAACCTTTTTCTACCATACGGTATTTGAAGGCGTGATGCTTCATAAAATGGTTGTTATACTTTCCTGATTACAGATTATGCTTGCGATTTAGGAGTTAAAAGCCGCGGTTCGGTGAGCCATTGTATATAAATCTGATGGACTGGTAGCGAGTATTGCGGGAGTGAACAAAGGATTTGATCTGAAGGACCTCGGAAATATATATGAAACGACGGGATTGAAAGACTTGGTAGAGGAAGGATGTGGGGGAGGAGGGAGGTGGATACCCCTGGCAATTGAAATATATTATAATCCAAAAGAGTAAACCGGAGATAGGTTATCCACATTCCAATATATATTTCTTTTTAATTTTGAACTATTATTTATTACAACCTGTTACACACTGGTAAAAACACTGAAATGTCAGTTAATGCAAAACCCATTTCCGGTCACTCCATTTCTATTTAACTTGCTTCATATTCTAATTTACAGCAGTATTGTTCTTATTTCATTAAATTCACTTTTATTCCAACTGTGCATACATAATATTTAGATAATTAATGGAGAATGTTTTTCATCAGCTATCTGTAAATTAATACGCCATTCATCTACTCCAAACACAATGCTGCGCAAATAAATTACACCTCAATCGAATTCAAATATACCAGTCATGACCCTGATGAGGGGAATGAGCCAATTGCATAATTTCATCACACTTT